TAAATAGGAGGGCACAGGATGCGGTTAATAAAGAGGACGACGAGTGAAAAGATACTTTATTTTCTCTGCGGTTATAGCATCTCTTTATCTCCGTGAAAGTACACATTTGTGGCTAATATTAATGCTGAAATCCATTTAAGGAAGGAAACGCTACACGAGGGTGTAAAATGCGGGTAATTAAGCAGGATACGAATATGAGAGGGAAATACGTGAGAGTAAAGTCAGTTTTCCAACTTTTTACAATCACGAAAGACTCGTGACCGCAGCTGATTGTCTAAAAACCGATTTGAAAGATCGTTTTTGCGATAATTTGCTGTGGAAAATGCTCGAAAGTTATTAATTGCGCGGGTGCGAGCGCCAGGGATTTAACAGACTTTAAGTCCGCATTCTTTAAATCGAAACGGTGAGAGGCGAGAATTTATCGAATACATAATATATACATGTGCGAATTCATTTTCTTTCTACGATTGAAATGATCGAGTGTAATTGGCCGACGACGGTAAGATATGCATTAACTAAGCTTAATTAATGCAAATTATGCCGAGAAATGCGGCACGAACTTCGTCGCTCCAAAGTGTGTAGATAATACATATGTAGTGACAACGTTAGCATTCCTGGAAGTAATTTATGTGCACGATTTTGTAATGAATTTGTGCTAAAGGTCTTGTTTTGCTTCGCTGCATTGCACAAAGTCATATTTTCCTCATTCAGAAGAATACTTATTTCCACTCTCGATAACACTGAAAAAAAATCGCGTGTCTCCTTCAAACACGCGTATTATACTCGCTCTGGAAGCCAATTTGGAGCGAGGCTTGTTTCTATTTTCATTATACTGATATAAAATAATCTCGCGATTTCTGCTCTGTTTCGAGAGACCGAAACAGCGCCGACAAACACATCACGGCCGTATATTTACTCTGATTCCGTCTCGTTACGAGGAATCGAGGACCGAAAGCTCGATGACTGCAACATTTTCACAGAATGACTGCGTGATGCAGCGGTGCGCGATGACCTCAGCAAAGCCGTGATTTACAATTTAAAAAATGGGATGACGTACCCGAAATGAGTATGACGTATCCCTTTGTGGTATCAGATACGCGCGATAAGATCCACGGCAGAAGTGTGGGCGCCGAGATTGGCGCGTCACGCATCGCGTTACCTTCCCGTTTACGTGAACATACGCACGTATCGGCGCGTGTAGGTACAATGGGGAGCAGGAATGAGTTACATATGTTGCGCGATTGCGTCAGGGGTCAGCCATAAAAAAAAGAAGATCGTCGACCCGTGATCCGCAAGGGAAGGTACGTTTCTTGACAAGCGTTAATAATGACGCTGATTTGTCAATACGTTCGAAGGCAAAAAAAATATATCACAGCTGATAAGACGCTTTTAATGAAAATGAAAAATACAGACACGTCCCTCTCTTTGTCTCTCTTTTTTTCCTTCTCCCACCTCACTGTGAATTTCCAGTCGACGTTTACTGTTAAATATTAAACGATAAAATTTAAACCAATACCTTGAGTTAAATAACATTTTGTTATTTTTTATTAGTGTGTGTGTAAAAAAATTTATTATTCTGACACAAAAAATAGTAGGTATTATTTTAACTTCATTGATTTAATTAAATCAACATTGGTTTGGTTAAATTTTCGATATATTGAATAGATAACAGTGGCGATCTATAAGAATGGTTAAAAATTACTCAAATTGAGTATAATTTGACGCTACAAGTTTAACCAATGTGTTGAATAAATTGAAGCGAGAGAAGTCGATTGGAAGTATCCGAACGGACGAGTATGCGAAGTGGCCACGAAAATAATTTAAATATTCATACAAATTAATTAGAGTCTATCTACCGCATCTATAATTTTCTGACGTCGCGTGTCGTTTCTTGTTTCTGATGGGCTTCTGTTTTTCTTCCTGTTACGCAAATTCTTTTGACGTACTGTGTAGATCATTTGCATGGTGCGAAGCTCCTCTCATTCGCGCCTCGACTTGCGTCATTTTCCGCACGCGTGTCCGCGTGTGATGAAGTAACGAGAGCTGCTAATGTAACGCGTACTGTAACGTACCGCGAGCACGCAGTGTACACGCGCGTTGCATTGCACTAGCGGAAACGCGACTTGAGAGTTTTGGCGTGATGACGCAATTGGTTTTAGGAAGGATCCACCGAATACATAAATTGACGTAAGTCTTTTAAAAAAAAGCGAGAAAAAAAACACGGATGTTAATCAATATAAATTAATATAGTTGCGATTTAAAAAGAAAGAGAGAAGATTTTTGGAAATCGTTCTCGCGTATTGACGTAAATGCTTAAATTATAATAGGTAATAAACAACTTTGTAGCAAAAACGGACAGCCATATTTCCATATATCCCTCGAGCCTTTCTATTTATCGTACGAGTTGCGGATGTGCCTCAGGTTTAAGTTGATTGATTCGCACGAACAACTTTGCCAATTACTAATAATTCACGATTTCTTCGAATCCTCTAAGGATCAATCATCGGCTGATGGGGAGAAGGGGGGAGAATAAAAATTCTGCTCGCGGAAAGATTAGTTTTCATCTAATTGATGATCGATTCGATGGAAACGTCAAGAATTAGGACTAGTTAAGCTTCAAGAATATTAATAGCTGACACACAAACTTCGTCAGTTCATCAGTTTGACTTCAAGCAATGTTTTTCTTTTAAAATGATCCCCTATTGACAGAAACTTCATTTAAAATTTATCTCTCAAGAGATACTTAATATAAAAAAATGAAGAAGCTACACGATAAGCGGTAGGTTTCCAGTTGAATTTCCATTAAAAGCAGTATACCATTCGGATTTGTCATACGCGCGATGACGTCAGAAACGAGGACATTCCCGCGATAAACTGTGCGCTCTTATAAAAGTACGTAATCTACGGAAATCAGGTTAAGACCTCGAAGAAATTTCTTCGCTTGTGGATATTCGCCTAATCAAACTGATTCTGCACATCTGTCGAGAAAAGAATTCAATGGTACCATCGAAGTATCCGCGGTATGATAAGAACATGAAATGCATCTGATATCCAAAATGTTTCGTACAAGTTGCCGAATAAGAATTTTTCAGTTGAATCGAATTTAAAAAAAGAATAAGTGCGAAATTTCGAAAGGAGATTTATAAATTTATACAATCTTATCGTCTGGCATGATTAAATTTTTATTCATATTTTCGGGCGAGTATTTCGCATCGCGATAAATTCCTGACTGATGGTATAAATGTATTACGCCGGCAGGCATAAAGAATCGAACTTGACACCGTTCGAGGTTTTCCTCGGCTGCAGTGCGCGCATAATCATAAATCTCCGTCGCGACGCTTATCCTTGCTTGGATGACCCAGTTGTGAACGTTTAAATCCCTCGAAGCCCCGAACGTACATACGTTCGAGGATTTATCGAGAATAACTAAAGGCCGACAAGCTGATCTCGCCGATACGATCCGCTCGCGATCGATACAATCTGTTAGCGCGATCGGAAAATCGATTCTAGAAAACATTTTTCTGCCGCGAGAACAATGTCTCCCCAACTTATCTTCTCGGCATCAAGGAGAAGTGATAAAACAAACGTGCGGGTGATCGTTTTAATTTTGCAGTCTATCTCTAAAGGCTTCGCCAAACATTTTTATCTCGATAATGAGGATAAATCCTTAAGCACACGAGCGCGTGAAAGAAACGTGCGATTTGCGCAAATGAAGTCACGTTCCTGCAATCTTTTGGGAATGTTTTCCAATGTTTCTTTCTCTTTCACAAAATATTCCTGAAATATTTAATGAAATATCCCAAAAACCTTCAAGTCATCCGCACGATACGAGTATAATAATGAGTACGATTCTGACTTGTGATATAAATTTTCTTTTTTTAAGATAACAAAATAGTTGTATCGATTGTGTCCAACGTGTCGCAGCATCGTCGCGTTATTCTTAGACGCAAAGACTGTTTGCACGGCTCTGCAGAAAAACATCGGTAATCATAATTGAGGATAAATAACAACTTAGAAACCTTGAATCTCAAGTGCGAGAGTGTCAACTGCGACGCCATCAGTGAACGACGGTTTTATCACGGCGATGTAGAATTGCGTCGAATTACGGCGGTAGAGATAAGCGCTGAAACGTGCAGAAGCGTTCTCTCACACGTTCCCCGATAGAAGCGGGAACGGGTGAACAACGAACGGGTGTACGACGAACGGCGGATTGATGACTGACAGCGGAGTAACGAAAATAGAGGAAGCGGCTGAGCAAACGGATTTCGACGATACCGCGATGAATTGGAATTCTTAAGGCCGCGTCCCGGAAATTGCGTCATCCGCTACATGATCCGCTTCCGGCTACCGCGCGCTGCAACGTTCGCACAAACAAATTCCAGGGAGAGATGTCTAAACGTTTCTAGAAAGTCACAACTGTAGCGTCAACTCGAGAGAATTGCTTTACAATTGGACTACATTAAATTTTCGTTTCCGCGACAGCGTTTTAACTATATTTGCCGCAATAAATTTGACTCCCGCAAGTGTCAAGGTAGTTGAAAATCCGATTGTAATATTACGCGGCGATAAAAGGTCTTTGTTGCAAAACGGGTCTTCCGGTCTTATCGTCTTAACGTCGAAAAAAAAAATGAGTCGTTAGAAAATCTGAAAGAGTCATCGTTTTAGCAACATACTCAATGTCACATATATTAAGATATTAATCGGCGTTGCGAAATTTTATTACGTAAAATGATAAATCACTATCCTCGTTTTCGGTGAAACGTAAACAGGAAAACAGATAATACACGCTGCTGTCTCTTTGTGTGGCGCAACGTTCGAGAGATAAGTAACTTAAATTGGCGCAAAGACGTTGATCATTACACTCCCTTGTAATTCGATCTGTTAATCAAGAATAACAATGTTACGAATGACAACGTATTTTGACAAAGAACCTTTGAATACTTGTGTACATGTCTATAAATTTTGTTTATTTTGATATCTTTTTTTGTTTGTTTGGACAGTTTCCTCGACGATAGGGAGTACCAGTATTTTCTATTCGCTTCAATCTTCCGTTCTGATCGCGAGAAATTGAAGAGAGGCGCTTTTTTCGAGCAGAATGATGCAGGATTAAGTCGTTCCCGTGGTTAATTTCACGTTCGATCCACCGAGTGAAGAATCGAAAGACGCACGTGGCAGCGATCGGCTCTCTCGAGGTAAATACCGATTACTTTTCGAGATAACGACCGTACCTATCCCCCGGTTTTTCTCGAGGCGGTTTGTAGCACGGCACGCCTTTGTCGCACGGGCCCCGTTGTCGTCGAATCTCTTCGGCTAGAGATCACGGCGTCGATTTATTTGTCACACACATCCGACGTGGAACACGAAAATCCGGAAAAAGCGGATTTAATGTGAATGGGGGCGCGGAAAAAGCGATCGAAGAATGCGCCGGATGTACGCGGAACGGATCGCTTTACGATCGACTTCCGGGGTATATTTTGCTTTACCTGCTCCGAAGGAACAGGCTGGTACTACGATTCCGACGCGAGAGCGGATCGTGGAGCAAAAAGGTCCATGCAGCTGCCCCTCCACCCCCCTCCCCCTCCGTGTACGCCTTATACCTTGATCAGTTCCCATCGTTCGGCCAGGCGCCACGCTTACCCTTTTTCTTATCCTTTCGCTTCTTTCCCATTCTTCGTAGCTTCGGACTGACCTTAATTGTCGGCGAATGCATTATCGAGAAACTGTAATTGGGATATTTAGTATCTAGTGGACTTCGAATTGTCCAACTATAATACACTATCCTCATCAGGATAGTAGCGAGCCTCTTTGTCATTTATGTACGCATTCTCAAATTTCTATTATAATCCTTTCGGGATCTGAATCCTTATTCACCGAAAGAGAGACGTGAATTGTGCATCTGCCCGTTTTTACGTTTCACATTAAGGGAAGGGTCAACCCTCGGGGTCACCGATTTTGTCAAAATTTTACTAAAATGTAATATTGATATAGAAGTGACAAATGCTGTAGTAATATAGGAGCATTCTTCTTAAGCGCTTGCAGAATGCTCCTATATTACTACAACAAAAAAGAGAAATAGCATCTCGTGAAGATGTTATAAAAATTCACTCTTTAATATTGCATCAGTTAAATGCTCCGGTATTTTCACTTATGATTAAATACGCATAGTTTGCATCAAAACTGACGAGCGAACGGCCGAGCTTTTTGAATGTTAATGACGTGTGTTTTCCTGTCTCATTATTAAAAACAAAATATGCTTGCGAAAAAATTGGATTTATAAAGTATGTTTGGTGTAAGTCAGTTCTATGTTTCACTTGTTTTTTTTATTTCAATCACTCTAAAGTTTGTAAAGTTACAGAGCAAGACGACGAATAATCGCAATCATTTTATTATAATATTCTTCTTTTGTATAACGCCTTTTTTATTGTAACCTTTTTTTATACCTATACAAAACTAATAAATCCAATAAATATACATACAATTTTTTTAATATTATGTAAATATATCTCCGCCAATATATATATATTTTTTTATTTATATTTTTTTTATTTTTATATATTTTTATTTTTTTTCTCGGCAACGGTTGAGAAGCGCATCGTCTCCGTACAGCATTTGTCACTTCTATATCAATACTACATTTTAGTAAAATTTCGACAAAATCGGTGACCCCGAGGGTTGACCCTTCCCTTGTCAGTTGTTTAGTTTCCAAACGGGCGTAAATAGATCGTACATTCGGAAACTTGGAGAATTTTGAATAGGCGAGTTTCTCGGAAACCGATGATGGTAGAATTGTCATGAAAATCACGGGTCAAGAAGAGGCTCACTTTACACTTTTGTTAGACGGGGCCGCCTCGAGATTTTTACGCGCGTTGCCCAAGATGATACAACTTGTTACGACAGAGAATGCCCCTAGGCGTACCCTTTCGAGATCGAAGACCATGTTAATTTCAGATGACTAATCGCGATCGCGTCATTTATGTGGCACGTGTGACGACACACACGTGAGTTCATTGTCCCACGTCGTGAGACGATTTACCGAAATGCTCTATGTTTCGAAAGAGCGCAACAACTAGCATTCATCTCGCGTGTGCGCGGGGCGCATTAGCAACGCAAATTTATTTTACGTCCGTCGTAAAATTTTTGATTGCCATTCTACACAGTACTGGCATCAATTATTGCATCACTCAATGAATTTGTCAATTTTATATATTAATATATATATATCATTTCTTTATGTTTGGCTTTGAAATACCAAAATTTATTTCTGGAACGGATAGTTACAGACTTTATTTCTGAAATAAAAGTTATAAATGTATTGTTATTACTACAGGGATTGTATATATATTCTTAATCAAGCGTTTCTAATGTACTAAATCTAATCAGATCACCACTGTATCAATTTCTCATAAAAATCAAAGAAATGGATTAGTTTTATCCAATGTGCTTATTTTATCTTGTTACGTTTGTAGATAATCTTATATAATAGAAGGCACATATTATATTTATATTAACGTTTTAATGTATTTCAATATGTTTTGCTTAATATTTATTACCACAGGCTTTGATTACAGCCTGACATCTCCTTGGCACAGACATAATTACATTTTTTATTGTATCAACGTTGATTATGTATGATAACAAATACAGGCTATCGCGACAATAAAATGTTTCACTTACATATATTTAGTATCTAAAGAGTACTTCCACTAAACTTTTAACGAATGAAAAATTTTCAAGATGATGCAATAATTGTAGTGCCAATACTGTAGCTGACGTATTTTTTTTTTTTTCATTAATTTTGAACGTGTTAATTGTATAATTAATTTCCTGCTATAAACGTACACTCCAAAAGAAAGTAGTGGATTATTCTCTTTGCTTTCTCACTCTCGTTTCTCTAATTTTTAGCGTACACCGCGATCTGAATACTTGGGTCGGAAATAATTTCAAATCTAAATTCAGTAAGCCGCGATCTTTGGACGGATGTTTATGTTTATATCCCAAGGGCTGTTACACCGATTGGATTCTGCATGTCATATCTTTTTTGCACAACAATGCGCAGTCTATTTGTAGATGCTGTGAGAATGAGCTTTTTCTCATTTGCGGATTTTCTCATGTCGGGAATTTCTTATTAGGGCATACCTTACTGTTTCCCGATCAGGCGCTAACCATACATCGGGCGTGCCTAATCTAATTTCTGCTCGGGGTATTGATAACGACAATTGGCATTTCAATTCGATGTGCAGCGATCGAGAGAGACGTCGGAACTTCTTTGAGGTGTGCTTTTTTTCCAACTGGCGTGCACGCGTCTGCGACGCAAATGAGGCCATATTAACGCCAATGTCACTGATGCAATTCGCGCGCAGATGCATACAGGCAGGTCACGATATTTGTTGCAATCGACGATAGGGACACACTCATTATCTCGCGCGCAAGAAAATCCCGGCGTTAAATCGCCGTACAAGTCCGGAATTACTCGGCTAATTACCGTTGGGCCCGTAATCGAGCGTGCTAATTAGGCATAGCGTTATATCCCTCCCTCGGCGCATAACTGTGACGATTACGACCCAACGTCGACAGAACGATTACGCAAGAGCGTGCAATTTCTTCGCCGCTCGGGGAGTGTCGCGTGGAGCAACGATTGAGGGCGCGTCGCGTCGGCGGTACCGCGAGTTCTCACGGTATTGAAAACGCAAGGAGAGCTCGAGATTCAAACAGCCTTCTATAGCCGAGAAAAATTTTGTCGGAGCCGTGCGCGCGCGAGGCAATTAGGTAACGATCGGTGCGCGATTACGAGCGTGTAAACATCGATCGCGCGCGTTTACCGTGCCCTCACGATCTCCGGTCGGATTTGGCAATCTCCCCCATGCACGCTGTAGGCCGCGGAAGGATTTGGCAATGAGAACGCAACAAGAAATCGAAGGACCGCCCGCCGCGCCGCACCGGATATTCATTGTAATCATTGTTCGCTGAACCTTCGGCAAAACCGAAGGTGCCATCGTTGTTATTCTCCATGTAACTCTGTAAAACTACTTTTCAAAATCTGAACGATTTTCCGGACGTGCGAGTCTAAAAACGAACTTACTTTTGTTCTCCTTGAACATTGTAAAAGATGAGAATAGGATCGAGAATGAACGAAGATATATTGAAGATAAAGTTATGAGAGCTAAGAATCTTGTGTGAACTATTATTAAGTATTTTTTTGTTTTAGAAAAATAGTAGCCTATTTACCCATTTTCAGGAAAAGAGTTGACGAAATATTCTCCGTAATTTATGCACTATAATCAAATGAGATTTACGCGTTTCATTGGCCTTGGCACATAAAATTTGTCTCGTCGCAAAAGTAGTCTTAATTATCCATGACTGTCTAACGTCAAATTTTTAATTTTGCTTCTATGTAGGATACTTCTACAAAAGCTTCTCTCGAAGCTCACGCAACTTTTGATAATGAATATTTATGAGCACTCGACTTATATCACATATCTTTTATGTCTTTTAATATCTGGGCTCGTTTAACTTCAGGAATTTCTTCAGTATTTCTACAATCGACTGGCAATATGACCGTTCTTATTTTTATTATTTTGTAATCACCAATGACAGCCGGATCATTCACAGCGAAAATTTATCGATAATTTTTCACGCTCCATCGTCTGGCGATCGAAGGCTACGACTATTTGGGTCGCGGACACTTAACGATTAACCGTTCGGTCCTTCCGCTCTTTAGATCCCCCTGACCTTCTCTTGCGGCCACTGTTCTCTCTCTCTTTGTCTCTCTCTTTCTCCCTAACACTCTTTCTGCTACTTTGGCGCTCGTTAGTGTCGTCATTGTGTTGTCACCATCATCGTATACGTACTATTGCAATATTACACGCAACACCGTATACTACTCCCTGTCACACACCGAATTGAGAAATGGAACTGAGTTGAGTAATCCATTTCATATGAAATCAGATACTCAGTTTTCGAAATCGTGTATTTGCCTTAACCCTTAAGTGCGCAGCTTTGCATATATGCAAAGCGACTTTTCGATGCTCCGTGTACTCTCCCATATCAAGTTCGAACTGAAAACATGCAGCTTTGTACATCTGTAAAGGGTTAAAATTAGTAAAAAAATGTTTAAAATCTTTTTTTTTACAATTTCTTAAGCAGCTCATTATTTATTTAAAAAGTGTTCAGAATGCTATATGAAAAATTGCGCATTTAAGGGTTAAAATGTTTGAGCTTGCATGTATATATTATACTATTATATTGTATGTAATTATGTATACCTATACATATATTTTTTACTCTAACACATTACATATTATATATTATATATTATAATATATTATATATTATAATACATTCAATATTGATCTATATGCAATAATATGTTCGTATAATAGCTGTGTCCAATTTTTATATCCATACCACATGTTTGCGTATTACAGCAATGTTGTGCGTTTACAGATTTTTCGGAAAAAATAGAAAACAGAATGAGCGAGAGCGGTGCCGGCGAAAGCGAGAGGAGCGAGGAGAAAACGGATCCGGGCGCTATCAGACACGGGAACTTCATGAATTATTACCAATTCCATCCTGCGGAAGAGCGCGTGCGGCAACTTCCGCGTGGCGTGTGGCAGCGGCAACGGGTCGGCCATCCGGCCCGGAAATACACGGGTCTAGACGTCGGCTGTAACGCCGGGGTAAGAGCAGCGGCGCGCGGCGCGGCGGCACAGCTGTCGGGGGACGTATGGGCCAGCCAGAAACGAAACGGGATGACTCCGGCCTTCGTGATCCGAAACTACAAACGGGCGCGTCTAATTTTGGTCGACTTTATCCCCATTCAGCTTTTCGCTCGCGCACCAGGCATCCGCTTCCGGAATTCGTATCCTTTGTCCTTGTTAGAAATTTCCTGTACGCGTTCATTTGCTCTTCCTCTCTTCTCTTCGTCCCTCTTTATATTCGAGCTAATACGTTTTTTTTTTAATTATACGGAATGCCTCACAAATGTTGCGTTTCCTCTTAGCTGGAGATTTCCTCTCAGCTTGTGGATAGCTCGAAGCGGAACTCCTATTACGAAAACACGACGTCTAACTAATTCTATTCTAATTCTATTTTATTCTATTTTATTCAAATTCTATTCTAATTTTATTCTAATATTTCGTAGCTATGAATTTAAATTAGGAGATGTAGATTAGATATGTATTAATTATCTCGATGAATTCAACCAGCAACATATGTTTTTAGTGCGTTGCTTAAACGTTAAATTTCAACTTCTTTGTATAATTTTGTCTTAATTTTTATTCAAATATTTAAATTTATATTTGTACAGATTTAAGAAATATGTACAAATAACGATACTCGGTTGATTACGCAAAAATCCATTTTAGATTCAATTCCGCAATCCGTATAGTTGAAAGGATACCGCATATCTAAATCTTATTGTACACGACGCGTTTTGCAGGATCTCACATACGTTCTACGCGACTTCCTCGAGGAGGCCATGTCGCAAGATCAGCCCGAGATCTCCTTAATCGGCGTGGATCTCGACCCGATCCTGATCGAGAAAGCGCGCGAGCGCAATCCGCGCCCGGATCGCCTGACCTTCGAGCGTCTGGACTTTTTGTCGGAGGACTGCGACGAGACGCTGAAGCGGTATCTGGCGCAGCTCAATAAAACGCGATTCGACGTGGTGTTCTGCTTCTCGATCACCATGTGGATACACCTGAATCACGGCGACGACGGTCTCGAGGAGTTTCTGCGAAGGGCCTGCGAGCTGGCGGAAATGATCGTCGTCGAGCCGCAGCCTTGGAGATGCTACAGAAACGCTGAGAGAAGACTGCGAAGAGCGGGATTGGGGGACTTTCCGCTGCTGAAGAAGCTGAAGTACACCGGCAATCCGACGAAGCACATAGAGGATATTCTGCTGAGGATCTGCGACTTTCGAAGAGTCGCCGTTACCGCGGGCAACGAATGGGGACGCATGCTTCTGATCTACGAAAGGAAGCAGGAATCGTAAAGGATCGGCAAATGTGCACGATATTACGTTCGGATTATAAATACCCTCGGTACATGAAATTATATCAATTGTGAATGTACCGCATGCCGCATCATTTCTAAATATTCATACGTCGTAACTGTGTATGCGTGCGAGTGTGTCGACATAGCGATAATCATTTTTTATCCTTGTAGATAACGACAGGAAATGTGTAATAAAGCTTTTCAAATTCTAGCGCATGGGATTTAGCTGATTATGTTCTTCCTGATGCTTTGTTCATTTTTGAACATTTAAATTTTCGTAATTCGAGTTTGTGTAAACTAAAAATTTTATAACGTGCAAAAATTTTTATTAGTAATACCTTCTGCGTGATTATGTTCTCCTGATACTTTTCTATGAGCATTTATATTTTCGCAATTTAAATCCTTTAGACTTGAGATTTAAAATTCTGAGAATTCTTAAAATTATAATTTTTACGATTTCGATTAGTTTCTTACGTTATTATCGATTTTAGAAAATTTAAATTTTCGTTGATAATAATTGATATCGATAATTACAAAGAAAATTTCTGTAATTACCGTTGGTTGGTAAAGGTAAAGTCACTTAAGAATCTTTATTAACGATAGGTAAATCGGCGTTACTTTGATTTTATAATCACCGACAGAAATTTTAAATCCTCAAAATTCTCGAAATAGTGTCAACAGTGTGCAATTGTCGTCGCTCTTGTCGTAACCCTCAGTTCCGGAGTTCCGGTCGTAATCGGGCATCGGGCATAACAATAACAGCAACGATACTAACATGAATTCTGCGAGCAAGGTGAGGGTAGAAACTTTTAGACAATCTTGCCATACTTTGTTTTAAATTGTCTCTCAAGTCCTTGCGCAATGTCGACGAGTCGGAGAAGAAATACTGAGATGTCGAAACATCGAATACAAAAAGTACTATTATATTTCTAGGTTAAACTAACGGTGAAAAGAATTTTGAATCATTATAACGAATGTTAATTAAATATATATGACCGTTATACATAATTATTTATATATTCGTGTTTAGGTGGGTGAGATCTTTGCTGCAGCTGGAGTAGCCTTCAACAAGCTAGGTGAGCTGACAATGCAGCTGCATCCTACATCAGATTCCCTAGCGGGGTAAGTTGGGCCGGTATTCATAGTCGGATCTTATTTCAAGATCGTCTTAAGTAATGTCTGAAGATGCTAATACGGCTCTGTGGTGATTGGTTCATGACATCTTAAAGGTTGTACTTAAGACAGTCTTCAATATAAGAACCGACTATGAATACCGACCTTTTAGACATACAACCATAAAACATATAGTTTGGAGGCAAACGTGCAGATAGTCTTATTAGTCTGGAAAGTAATTCTACAAATATTTTAAAATTATACAAAAGATTTACGGTTCCGTCATAATTATTATGGCAATATTTGTATAGGGTGACTCTCTGGTAGCATATATTGCATTATATTTGTCACAAAATAGCTTTTTTCTTGTTTCTAATAAGTTTAAGATATATACCATTGGAGTGTCATCTCGTATACAATTATATCAGGCCCCATGCTCTTTTCTTAATTTCCTATCCCCCCTCGATGCGTAGTAAATGGGCTGACGAGGATATTGAGATGCTCCGTCAGTCGGTCAGAGTCTTCAGCGAAGAACTGAGCAGAATAAGCGAGCACATCAAGAGTCGGACGGTGTAAGTTTTCACAGGCTGCCAGTCCTGGCAGTCAGTCCGAATCTCACACCGAACGTATCGTTTTCTTTTCCAGCTCTCAGATACGAACGACCCTGAAGAAAAAGGCGTTTGAGGAGGCTGGGATGACGGTCAGGCAGCAACAAATTCTACCCCAGCAGGCGCAACAGTCCACCCTGGTTCAGCAACAACAGGTTGTTAAGCAGCAATCGACGTCGGGGAACCAGAGCCTCATGGGAAAATCGGCGGAGGTCACGCTCAACATGCTGAACGCGCCGGAAACGGAAGTGGACGTCGAGGGACTCCCTGAGGAGTGTCAAGTGAAACTCGAATTCGAGGAAGGCGCCACTGAAGAAGTCACTGGTTGAATTAGTTCGTTCGTTCATAAGTTAAGTAAAAAAGAAGAATGAACTAAAAAGCTGGTGATATCATCCTCATCTTTTTTTTTCGTCATCTAATTGTTCATTGAACATTCGAATTTTAACTAGTTTTAAGCATCAGTCTCGTGTACACTTATAAGTTACTTTTTGTAATAAATGTATGAAAACCTAGTTCAATCCGGCGACCTCCGGCGACCTCCTTCCCTTCATTCATCTTCAAATACAGACTTTATTATTTTACCGCAGCATTTATTCAGGTTGCAGTACAATTTACAACTGAGATTCAGTATTAAAAGCAGGAAAGATCGGATAAAAAAATTAATTCTATCCATATATTAAATTAATATTAAAAAAAATATAGGTACCACTTAATAAATCAATCGCTGATTAAGTCAGTCAGGATTTGCTGTGATGAATTTCAAAGAGACATTAAAAAAAACGTTCAGTATCTATAGAATTGAGATTATTGAGAAAATTATTTTCAGAAGAGCATAATAATGTGCCTCGAGAATGCACGAAGATTTAGAAATCTGTTCCTTGTAGCTGCATTGTGTTATACTTTCTGCACTTAAATGAAGAATATTAATGAAATTTTCTTTTGAAAAGAGGAAGAAAAAAAGATGCAAAAAATTCAGCTACCAAATAACGAGCCTTAGGTAGTTTCCTCCGTTCTGGTTGGTATTTGGAGTCCGTAGGGACTTTGCCGCGCGTGCGAGAGTCCAGACTCCAGGGCGTCCAAAGCTGCGTCACGCGTCACTCTCACATGCCGATTGTGTCAGTAGTGTATCTCGCTGAATGACGCATACCGACGCACACCGCCAACTGACAGATTAACCGATCAACAATGACGGCACTCGGCACTAGCCGCGCGATGCAGTCGGAGTAGTCGATCGGCGTCGTTCCATCGATCGCGGCCGATCGCCGATCCCTTTTGTTCGCGCGCGTGATGACGTGAAGGCGGGAGGGGAAGAGAGAGAAAGAGAGAGGCGTTACGCAAATTGATCATTGTCTGGACTCGATTACACCTGCGGCGGGCGGAGTGGCTGTGTGCTGTCCGAGGGCAAACAAAGCGCGAATCAAGCGGAATCTTGAAACAATAACGACAGAGACGTCGCGATAACGATAACGACGACGACGACATGGAGGGAGGCCTGGTGGAGAACTCGGCCGGCGACACTTTGGACCGATCCGAGGACGAGGCGGCCCTTCAAGGATGCTGCAGTCCGAAAAAGGCGCCCTACCGATTTCTAGGGCTGGCGCTCATGTGTCTGCTCGGATTCGGTACGGAGCTGACGTATATTTAATTTCGCGGGACGCGTGATGCTGTTTGTTTACGCGTCGCGATATACGAACAGCGTCGCTCCGTTGTTTACCTATCACAACAGCGTTGCGCCGGAATGGTGTCACTGTCAAAAGAACGGGTCGCGAATGAGATCCGTAATCGTTGCCTCTCGCCAGACTCATTGTCACACGCCTCATTTCCGCGACTTCCTATTCACACATAGAAATGTATTTTAGTCCAAAGTCATCCGATTCTGAAACTTCCATTTGTTTCGATACTAATAACGTTTAATACTTTTCAATACCAAGTGTAATAATTTGATATTTTGCATTATGCAGGAGAACTTACGCAATATTAGAATCTCTGATGAAAATCTATCCACATTTATAAAACGCATCTATCTATTCGTCTACGTTTATGAGAAATAGTTGTGACTCAATGGCCAAAATTGCATACACAGAGACACGATAAAGAAAGAATAATTAGTTGAGTTGGAAATTGCTTAAGTAGATTCTATCTTGTGTCTTCCTGTTATTAATCGCAAGGAAAAAATTTGACATTGGCTAGAGATAAGGCGTATCATGAACGCCCTCTTTGTGCGAGTTTATCACAAGGATTTTTTAAAATATTGGCCATATGTTGTATAAACGATGTTAGAACCTATGACACAATCGATAGGGTATCTTCGTTTATCAGACTGTAAAGCTCTTAACACAAATAATATTCTGTGTTATCTAACTGTTCTAATTGAAGAGAGGAGAGCTAAGCCTTTCAGAAAAATTTGTCTCACTGCAACTCCAGCAGAAATTTCAATGTATGCCCTTTATTTCAGGCTCGTATTTTTGCTTCGATAATCCGGGCGCGCTGCAGGATAATTTCAAAACTGACCTGCACATGTCAACTAGCACATTTGTCTTGCTGTATTCCATTTATTCCTGGCCGAATGTCATTCTCTGCTTCATCGGCGGATTCCTGTTGGATAGCGTCTTTGGAATTCGGCTGGGTACGGTGATATACATGGGACTCACTTTGATCGGCCAGATCATTTTTGCAAGTGGCGCTATGATCGATGCTTTTTGGTTGATGATGCTTGGTCGATTTGTCTTTGGGTATGTTTACGCCTACGGTGTTGTTCCATCGAATGCAGAATGTTTTAGAACTATCATATATGTCCTTCTGTAAAATCGTCAAATTAACAAATTGTTCCTTTTCCGCAGAATCGGCGCAGAGTCGTTGGCAGTTGCGCAGAACAGTTATGCGGTCCTTTGGTTCAAAGGGAAAGAGTTAAACATGGTGTTCGGGCTGCAGTTGAGCTTCGCCCGGGTAGGATCGACCGTGAACTTCTTAGTAATGGAGCCGGTATACAACTATGTGGCTCAATATTACAAGGGCCCGAAGTGTATCGGAGTAGTTCTCTTTCTCGCAGCCATCACCTGTGTGATGTCGATGATATGCGCCTGTGTATTGGGCTTCATGGATAAACGGGCCGAGAGATTGCTCCGACGAGGCGAGGGACAGGAACCGCAGGTCGTTAGTTTAAGGGACGTCAAAGATTTCAAGCCAATCTTTTGGTTGGTCGCGCTCATTTGCATTGCTTATTACGTCGCGATATTCCCTTTCATCGCTTTGGGAAAGTAAGTGCTCGACAGCATAAAATCTTATTGCACGATACAACTTTTTCAAATCGCATCCGTCAAAGTGCATGAAATAATGATATTGCATTAAAATTCATCCTAGAAGTTAATTTTCTTATTCAACTTTTCATGCACAACAATTACACATAAAAATAAGAGTTTCGTTAATTTTGTTTCAGAGTATTTTTCGAGCGGAAATATGAATTTGATCCATCCGCAGCAAATACAGTAAATTCTCTGGTTTATTCGATATCGGCGATAGCTTCGCCTCTGTTAGGTTACATGGTGGATAGAACGGGTAAAAATGTAACGTGGGTGTTCATTAGTATCTGCGTGACTATCATTGCTCATGGGTTGCTCGCTTTTACCTATTTGAACCCTTACGTGTGTATGGTTCTCATGGGACTGGCCTATTCTATGCTCGCTAGTAGCTTGTGGCCTTTGATTGCACTTGTGACGCCAGAGCATCAACTTGGAACTGCTTATGGAATGTAAGTAATTTATTCATTAGCAATCTCAGAGCAAATAATACTAAAGATAATACTAAAAATTTTAAAAATAAAATTAATATCATTTTAGAGCGCAGTCTGTACAAAACTTAGGTCTCGCTGTAGTCGCAATTGTGGCTGGTATAATTGTCGACAAAGGAGGATATTTAATGCTCGAGATGTTCTTCCTCGGTTGGCTTTGGAGTGAGTATTTTCGCGAACTTGGAAACTCAAGATATGATTTCCACCGTAAGATGGAAATGCGAGAAATTTCATTACAAATAACATATTTCATGATTTGTGCAAAATAGTTTCACTGATAACCGCCGGTGCAATCTGGGTGTCGGACATGGCAACAAGTGGCGGTTATCTCAACATGACGCCAGGACAAAGAGAACGATACGAGGCAGTTCAATGCACGCCTGAAAATTTGGAACGAGAAAAATTATTATCGTCGGAATGCACATCGGATTTCTCGGCGGATAGTCTTATGCAGCCACAATCTGACATCAGTATACGAAATCGTTACTTGTCTCGCATTGGTGCGATGGTAAGTCGATTTTATTGAAGTTATACATTTTTATTTTTTCTGTAACATTAGGGGATAAACGGATGAGTAAAAAACAGAATGTATATAAGTGATAAAAAATCCAAAAGTATAAATCGTAACTCTTTAATAACGCGCGTTTTTAAATTCTAGGTACCACCACATGCGATTACGCCAATTCATCGACCTTTACGATGATAATTTAGTTCCAAATTCATGATACGAATAGGTGTGTAAAAATACTTAAAAAGTCTCGTCGAAATGTTGGCTCATTATGTCTTCCTATTACACACAGCTTGATCTGTGATAATTTCGTAACGCAGTTACTGTTCGATTAGAGATTACGTTTTAACAAGCGTATTGTAGCTGTTTCTTTGATAGTCTCGATCGATGCCGATTACACGTTACACGTGATATATACGAAACTTTTGACAATTCATGACGATGGCACAATTATAGATCTTTTATCAATGGTGGAATAATTCTCTCTACCTCTAATTTAAAAAATAAGCGTTGCGAAGTTACTTGTTCATAAGATATTTGACGTGTAATATATATATATATATATTGATGTAATATTATAATAAATGTTCGATCTTTGATCATTGTCCTTTTTCGTCAAAATCATTTCGGTGAAATAATGAATTGTATTAAAAGAGCCATCCGTTACTTTTTATTTTGTACGTTGTAATTAATATATGCGACATTGTTCAAGCTCTCTGGCGATAAGGCTCTCTCTTGTGACCAGTTAATTTCGACAACGTCGGGATATGAATACATTACTGTTGCACGACACACGATACGATAAAAAAACTGGTGTGCAACGCCGACGTTGGCATTAAATCATTAAAGGTATCATTAGTCAAAGAGGCAGATAATTCGTGTGCGCGCAGAGATCTGCATTTCTTATAACTTTTATACTCCTATTTTTCATGATAAAAAATATTTGAAATATTACCAAACGCGTTGGGTCAATCGCCAGTGCATTGATCACAATGAAACAAATATAAACAGAATTATTAAGTTTATTTACATTCTTTGCAAAAAAAAATAAATGTGAATTTATAACTGAATGAGAGATTTGTAGGCACGTTGTTTTTTGTTTGACTTCACAAATTTGGTCAAAGATGAAGATAATCGCAAAATTTTATAAATTAAAAAATCTGAGAAAGATTCTGAAAATTAGGAATTTGGGTAAATCTGAAGGAGAGCTCCCTCCTCACCGATTTCGCTGAATTTAGGCTTAATCGACGCGTTTTTGCACAAAACGAACGAATCTGGCAGAAAAAAGCCCCGCTCTGCCCCGCGAAAAACGAGATATTAACTGTTAAAGTTGACGACTATCAGGTTATGAGACCTGTCATACCGACGCGATGTAGCGACTACGGACATGCTCCGCGACCACATGCGCGCATGTCCCGTGGTCACGTGATGTTGTACTTGAGCGCTCAACCTCAATGACATATTATATATTGTTCTGTGCAATTCCAAAATATTTATAATGCCATATTCAGTAGAGCAATTATATAGTCTTCCGTTGCTACTGGTTCAGGATGATGTTGGTGAGGAGGGAGCTCTCCTTCAGATTTACCAAAAGATTAAATAAACGATTGCCTTTACTCCTGCGCGACGGATTCTTCCGCGACGTAATCTCATCTCGATATTTCTAATATATATCATTATTTTTTTATTTATACAAAACTCATTATATAACATTGTAAGCGATGCGGAATCATATTCTATGACAGTATCCTAACACATTTATAGTGTATTATATAAACATGGTAAAATAGGCTTAATATTAAATATATAGTTCTTTTCTTAAATAAAATCTTTTAATTTTTTAAATATTAATACAAATAGAATCTAGGATTAATACATTAATTAAAACAACTGCACAACATATCGAGACGAGCGTGGCCTAGTAGACAGCGCACTGGTCTACTGAGCCAAAGGTCCCGGGTTCGATTCCCCGGTAGAGCTAGAAAATTTTATTCGCTCGTTCTCCTCTCGGCAGGCAATGGCAAACCACCGAGAGTATGTCTTGCCATGAAAACTTCTCTAAAAAATTGCCGTTCGAAATCGGCGTTAAACTGTAGGTTCCATGTACAATGTGTATAATCTACGTGCGCAACACATGTATATGAAGAGAAGTCACCACGCTCGGACACGAGTAATAGGACGAGGATGGGCACAACATATACGACGTTCTGCTACTTCCAAAATATGACATATGACATAATAATATTAATAATATTATATGACATCTTCGATGTAGTAAGAATTAATTGATTTTCCTTATTTTTGTGTGGATGTGCATGAGGGATATCTGAACAAAATAATTTTTTTTAATATTTATTAAGTAGTAAAAAAAGAGAGAGAGGTGAGCGTTATATAAAATTAAACTTACTATTTCGATTTTAATTTGGATGCATAACATCCAAAATGACTTTGTTTTTTATACTCGAATTGCGCTTCTTTGATACTCGATCTGTACTCTAAATCGGTACTATACGGAGATAATATAAAATTGCTGTTTTGAAAAATATATTTTATAATATATTTATATTTATGTTGCGTAAAATATGTATTTTTTTATATTGAATCAATTAAAAGTTTATCGTTTTTTACACTAACATATTGTAATATTTACTACTGTACTCCGTTAATATCAGTTATATGGAATATTAGCTTTCATAGGATCCGTGGCACCTTCTCGCTTCTCCGGAAATACGTAACGCCAAGTGTTCTTTGTCCGCGTCGCACGCACCCATGTCCACGTCCGGTACGCAAAAAGGATTTCCAAGAACTCGGTATTTCGCGTAATAACCGGTGCACCGACCACCGACTCCAGAACGGGCGGCGCACTCCGCACACACATCGAGACTAGTCGAGAGGGCGTGCGGCGTGCGGACCAGCGAGCACGGAACGGAACAGCTGTATGCAGCTGTAGTGCCTGTAGTGAGCTGTAGTGCTGTAGCGTGCACCACGTGCTCGGCTGTGCTGTGCCCGCAAGTGGCACATACGCGTATACGCGCACGTACGTATCGGCACGCTCCGTGCGGTCCGCGACGAGATGAGGGTCCACGACGACGCGGATCCCAAGATTCCCAAGTACAACGCGATGGGGAAGTCGTCCAAGTTGTCCATGAAGCGGCCCAGCACCGTCGTGTTCCGCGAAAATTCCGCCAAGGTGCAGAAAACGAGCGAGGACAGCAGAGTCGGGAACGCGACGAACAGCGATCGAACGAACATCGGCTGGCGGAGAAAATCATTGCCCGTTTATATCCTCCGTAAACGGTAAGTTTCTCGAGTGATTGAATGATGTTTAATCTTTTACGCGATTATGCGCGACTAAAGGGAAAAAGGGGGGTGACGTCCGCGACGTTCGGCGTCGTGCACGCGGTGCATGGTGCATATCAGTGCATATACAGGATGTTTCAAAATGCAGACTCGCTGCTGATTGCAAATTAGCTAACGGGGATAATTTTCGTCACAACCGCACTTACTCGCGGTCGTTAAGGTAGAAAATACTGATGATTATTTTGTTTATTTAAATACATATTTTTAAATTGTTATTTTTTTTCTATTTTATAACATAATATCATTTAATAATCAAACTGTATACGTGTTCAGTAATTATGTATGTATATAATAATAATTTAAGCGCATAAATAAATTTTAATTCAAAAATTATTTCTAAAAATATATTTTATCCAAAAAATATTTTTTTTATTTTTATTAGAAGAAGCTGATGCTATAATACATTGTATCACATATACATATGTATATACATTACATATACATATATAAGTAATACATAGTAAATTTTCAACTTAATTTTTAATAAATACAAAATTTATTAAATATGTTGTTATGTAAGTAAAATAGATATATTATTTATCTATTTTACATATATTATATCACAACAATATTATATACATATATTACATTACACGAACATAAATAGATATTATGCTTCATATATTGTATTACACAAGTATTATATTACACAAGTAGAATAAATAATATAATTTATTATTGTATATAATAAATATGTAAATAGAATTCATAATAATTGCCTAGCGTATATGTTTATGCATATTGTAGAAAATGTAGAGTACATTTTGGCCCTAAAAGATCATCTTTAAAAAACAATGGATATTTCATTAAGTCGCGGCAATTACTTATTTAATATTACATATTCTTTACACATTCTTTATTTATATTATATGTTCTTTATATAATATACTCTTTATATTATATATTCTTTATAGTGTATATAAACTTTTTGCTCGTGAATTTTCAGGCTATTAGACGAGATACGCCGACACAGTACTCTCATCATAATAGGCGAGACCGGCAGCGGTAAAACCACGCAGATCCCACAACTGTTGCTCCACGCCGGAATCGCCGGGTCGTCCGGCTGCATCGGCATCACGCAACCGCGTAGGATAGCGGCGGTCAGCGTAGCGCGCCGGGTCGCCCAGGAACAAGGGGCGAAACCAGGAAAATTGGTGGGCTACTGCGTCCGTTTCGAGGATTGCACCTCGTCGCAGACAAGGATCAAATATCTGACGGATGGCATGATGGTGCGAGAAGCGATGACTGACGAGATCCTGTCGGATTACTCGGTATACTATCGTCATATTATTATTACAATTGTTGTATTAGACGACACAGTTATTGGAGGAGCAAGACTATGTTTGAAATTAATAATAAAAAATGAAATTAATTTTAAATGATAAACTAGCATCGTAACGAAAGATATTATTACAATATTATTTATTAATTTTATGCAAAATATGTTCTGGAATCAGTCTATTTTAAATTAAATTAAGTTCTTGTAAATTAGATGCTTTAACATTTTAACAAAAAGTAAAAGGCTTTTCCGTTAAGTTATTATTATATTTAAAACCGGCAGTAATCTTTCTGAAAACTAAAGAATCTCTCTAAACGTTCCCCTTTGCTACTTATCTGACTGCCTACCCGATTTGTGCATGAGTTTTGTAACTTTACAACAGGTGGTGATACTCGACGAAGCTCACGAGCGATCCGTGCAGACCGACGTTCTGTTCGGGGTGACGAGACGAGCGCAGAATTTGCGAAAGTTGAAGAATCTGCCGCCCTTGAAACTTTTGATTATGTCAGCCACGATGGACCCCACTAAGTTCAAGGAGTATTTCCAGGCACCAGCACTGTACTTGGAGGGCCGTCAGCATCCCTTGAGGATTTTTCACGCGGTGTCCTCGCAACAGGATTATGCATTCGCCGCACTAGCTACGGCGTTTCAAATTCACCGCGAGACTCCCCCAAAGTAAGAACAGCACGAAATTCTAAAACGGAATATAAACTGCGTGTTCTACGACGTATATATAGGAATAAATTGTGTTCTAGTATGTTAAAGAATTTATTGTTTTCGAAATGGATTGTAATTTCATCACATACTCCTTCAAAGACCTCAAATCAATCTCTTATAAACCGAGATACACATGAGATGAAGGTCGTCAAACCCAAAACCTATCGACCCATGAATCGGTCGTTCTGTCATAGCCATACATTTCAATTATGTTCTAGTAGGTAATCGTTTGATTTTTTATTTTCTAGTGAGGATATTCTCATCTTTTTGACCGGCCAAGAAGAAATTGAGGCGGCTGCAGTGGCTGCCCGAAATATAGCTAAACAACTAGATGAAGAAGAATATCCGCCTCTGAAAGTCTTTCCCTTATACGCGACACTGCCCACTCACCAACAGTTAGAGGCCTTCAAACCTTCGGCACCGGGAATGCGGAAATTAATACTATCGACAAACGTCGCCGAGACGTCCGTCACGATTGGCGGTGCGTATACACCTTTACTATCTCTTTTCCGTTACTTAATTTTCTAAATAAAAAATAGAAAGGGCTAAATAAATATTTTTATTAGCGCTAAGGTTTTTTTTTACATCAGATAATTATAAAGGTAAGACAAGATGTAAAGGAAGTTTATTTTTAAAATCTTTTTATGGAGTTTTTCCAACGCGATAATAAACGATATTATTAATTATGTTATTTTCAACGTCACGCTTAATTCAGCATTAATTACATAGCGCTCGCTGTTTTCGAATTCACAATCGTTTAAAATCTGATCTGAAAATTTAATAACGACGTTAAACATAGGAATTCGTCACGTGATCGATACCGGTGTCGTCAAAGCAAGGACACATCATCCAACGACGGGGTTGGACGTATTAAGGGTCGAGAAAGTCTCACAGGCACAGGCTTGGCAAAGGGCGGGTAGGGCCGCTCGCGAAGCACCGGGTAAATGTTATAGAGTTTACACACGAGAGGAATTCGAGAAGATGAAGGACATGCCGATACCAGAAATTCAAAGGTGCTCTCTCGCGGGAGTCGCTCTGCAACTACTTGCTATCGGCGTTGACATCACCACCTTCGATTTCATGGACAAACCACCCAAAGAGGGTGTAGACGTGGCTGTGAGCTGTTTAGAAAAGCTGGGCGCAGTTAAAGGTAACGAACGCTAATCTGTTTATTTACAAATTAAAACATTTCCTTCAATATGTTTGTTTAAAAAAAATTAGAATTTTACTTAGATATAACAGTGCTCATTAAATTATGCTTATTAAATTTCTTATTAATTTTTGTTTAAGCAATTTTTAAAATAAACGTTTCCTTATTTAGTACTTAAACAGAGTGATATATTTTTTTCATATTGAGATTCAGACGCGATGAAAGAAAATAATTGCGGCTGTTTACTGTCTTTATTTTATAATATCACGCGCGAGTAACGGGAGAATTTCAAGACAATAAATTCTTATTTAATCCCTCTTAAAAGGATCTCCACCGCAGCTGACTACGCTCGGCCGAACGATGTCACTATTCCCGTTAGACCCTCGATTTACCAAAGTGATCCTCGCGTCGGTGGAACACAGGTGTCTGGAGGAAGCACTGACGGTTATCGCTTTATTATCGGGCGAATCGATTTTCATGGACCCACCCACGAAGAGAGAACAGGCTTACAATGCACGCTCACGGTACGGCTCTTGCTTGCAATCTATTTATCGTCTCAAAGTATGAGGATGAGTAGAAAGAGATCAAGATAATTTTATCTTCGTACAAATTTCTCTACGAACATTTTTATTACGGAGAGCACTGTATCCACGATAGAGTGCATTTTTCATCACGGTTCGCGATTGGTTAAGTAAGTTATTATTTAATAGCTACCCGAGTAACTCTCATCGGGGTGGTTTCAGATTTGCTTCGCCTGAGGGGGATCACGTAACGTTATTGAATGTGTTCCGGGCATACCAAAACGTTACGCAGAAGAAGGCGTGGTGCCACGATAACTTCTTGCACCACCGAAATCTGGAGTATGGGTCGGAAGTGAGGCAACAGCTTGCGGCGTTGGCGGAACGTGCGAATTTGGAGAAAGCGAGCTGCGGAACGAATACGAAGCAACTCAGAAAAGCTTTCCTCGAGGGATTATACGAGAATCTTGCCGAGCTGCAGAGGGACCAGACGTATGTCACGGTAAGTAAATGTGCTCTCTCACTATATTATTTCGATATTATTATATTCTTCTTACTGTCAATTTCCTAGTATTAAATAAAATATTCTTTCTTTTGCCTGCTAACTTTATTATGAAACAGTACGTAAAAATGTAATTAGAAAAATCTTTCAAACATCGATCTACATGAATTGTGGAATTTTCGTTGATTAAGACTAAACTATTATTTTTAACGAAATACAATATGTTAGTTTTATAAACAAGTATTTTTAATTACACTGATGTCTTGAAACTTTTATACTTTAATTATTTATCTTTATGTCATTTTAGCGAACTTTAATCAGCAGATTAAAACGATTGATTATTCTTTTCTCTTTTATTTTATTTACAATATTTATTTTGTGTCGTTTGAAGTAATAAGGATTTGAGAGGTACAGTCATGGAGAGATATGCGCGGAATACATCACGAATAATTTTACATCATTCTTATCTTGATATTCCCCTATATATGTTGTTTGTATCTCTGCCTTGCTTGAGTTTCCTATATCAGCAAACAAGCGAAGAGAATCTCGAGTAATCGTATTACACGTACGGCATAGGTATACTCGAAACAGCCGGTAACCATACACCCTTCCTCGACGTTGCACGGTACGAAGCCGCCGTTACTGCTATTCACGGAGGTCGTAGCCACCGGAAGATGTTACCTTCGCGGTCTGTCTGCCATCGATCCGGCGTGGTTGACGCAGAAGAACATCGGCCCTGGGAAACGCGACTGACGCAATTTTTAATCCTACGACGTATTTATACAGAGCTTATTTTTGTTGACGTGAGGTGGAACAATTGAGGCCACTGAGTAACGGAGAAGACGCAATGATTTTTTTTTCGAATAATGAAATCGATAAGTAATAGAGAAACGGTATAATTGTAAGAAAGATTAATGTGTCGTGTTCTTTACCCGTACACTTATTCAGCGGTATCAATTGCGCCACTTGGCCCTCTTTCATATGGGTACAATTTTGTTGTAGATATATAATCAAGAGGAGCCATTTTTTCTACTACTTGTACACTTTAAGCTGTTATTAAATTTATTTAATATAAATTTTAATCATCGAGTACATTGCGTTTTGCATATTGGATCGCGACTCCCTCTACATGCGCCTTCACGCATATCCTCACTCAAATATATTTACCAGCTCCATTTTTCCAATTCAATGCAGGACAAATACTCCTTGAGTAACAATATCCAATATTCCTTACAATTTATATTAGACATTTGATTAATCCGTACTCAATGTTTAATCTTCATCCTTGCTTCTTCATCCTTTTTACTTTTTAACTTTTTATTTGTATACAACAGTTCGTTCTCGCAAAGCAGGAGCCGAACGAGTTTAGTTAAACATTTATGGCCGTTATGGTAAATTGAACGAATCGCGCATCGGCAACTTGGCTGGCAAGTTTGGTCAATTTTATGGTCTACGGGGTCGCCACGGAAGAAATCCGGCGGAGTATCTTTATCTGGAGATTTCAGGGGACTTAACCAGAGCCCGCGCGGTTAATGCTCGTTGATAGTAAGTACCACGAAACGATTTAACCACGAAATGAAGTTTCGCGCGGCAAAATAGCAAGTAAATTTGGCCGCGGATGTTACGAGGGCATGTTACGCTCATAGCTGCGTACTTACCCGGCACTTAACGCGCTCTGTTCTGCATATCGGATAATTATGGCCTGAGCGGGAGAGAGTATTGAATTTGCTCGGGCTAATCGCCTTGAGCGAGTCGAGGAGGAAGAAAGTGCGGCTCGACGTCTCGCATAGCTGCAGCCACGGATTTTCCGTCAAACTAAAATTTTAATGCTCATACATTCCGCAACTTCCAACTACCTCGTTATTTTATTGCGTATTCTGGCAATGTTAGCAGAATGAGTCTTACTTATTATAAATGTTAAATTGTTTCTGCGTAATGAAATGTAAATGCATGAAAATGCATTCTAATGTTTTCGTAAATACCAGGCGCAAATTAAATATTACAATTTGACAAGTTTCCTGAAGATACGTGGGCTTTATTGTTATATTTTGTTTTAATTGTAACACACACGAGTAAAGCAATCAATTGCCGTTTAATATTATATATCCATTATTCGTGTGGAAAGTGTTACGTGCGCACACATGTGGGAAACAAGAAATTTCCAAAATAGTCGTTTTAATAATGACGCAAACAGTTGTGCAGTTTAACATTAAATATCCATCATTTGTACGGGAAGTATTCCACGCGCGCCGGAAAAGTTTCCAAAACGTTGCAGGACCCTAATTATCTCTTTTCAGATAAAGGTCATTTTCATCTGACGTATATATGACTCGTGTCCAAGTCCTCCGAATGTGTTATTTATAGTTCTGTATACAGCCACTCGGAGCTATCCTCAGGTTGATCGATTTAGCGGCGGCTGGATATGTTACTGTATCCCCGATACAGAGGAGATCCGATATAGGATTAAATCGTCACAGAGTTAGTTATATGACGGGGAGGATATTCGCTTGTCGAGGTAGGATCGAATTGTATCTCTTTTCTCGGTCTCTCATCCTTCCCGCTTGCAACGACGCGCAAATAGCTGTTTCTTTCTCTCTCTCTCTCTCTCTCTCTCTCTCTCTCTCTCTCTCTCTCTCTCTCTTCTCTCTCTCCCTCTTTTCCTTACTTCCACGGGAAAATCGTAGGTATTCGGCGATATCGCCCAAGATGATGATGATGATGATGATACTAACGGACTTCTCGTCGACTCGAGATTTCACAGCCCTTATCGCGCTTTCCAACGTCCCAGAACCCCTACTGCGTAATGGTGATCTTCAATATCCCATGCTCTTCAACGGTTTCCTTTCCGCAGGCGGGGGAGACGAGTAAAATTTATTCGATTACAGGAGAGGAGGAGTCCGTGTTTCGACACTGGTATTCTCATAATTCGGACTTGGGTAATACGAATGCGGCGGTGGTATTACGTAGGTACGCCCCCGCGGGGTACAAATAAAGTGAGGGCTTAATCTGGAATGCTTGAGAGTTTGGAGAGCACTTTGCGAGCGTTTCATCCGTCCGTAACCCACGTATATATCTAATTTCGTTTCTGAAAACGCCATTATGGATTTCTCAATATGAAAGTAATTATCCATAATTTCTGGCGTGGGATGATCCGCTGCGCGAGGATTTGAATAAAGTTCACGAGGGCGGAGGCAACTGTATCGAGTAGTCGCTATGAGACGAATATAATCCTCATTAAATTCACGTTTACGCAGACAAGCGTAATGCGTAATTACAAGCTTCTTGACACCGAACACATTACGTAATTTCGATATTCTCGCGCGATTAATATAAAAGGCGTTCCATTTTTTTTTCTTGCAAGTCAAGATGCGTCAGAAACCCCCTGGGACGCGAAAGAGAAGAGAATCTTTTATTTCTGTTATCCCGGCCCCTAGGAGGGATCCCTATCCACTTGTGCCGAGGGTGGCCACTGCAGGCTAGCGGACGGCTCGGCGTGATTAAGAATTAAATATTAATGAGCGCGCCGACTCGGCGGCCGTATCGCGCTTTCTTCGGGGATTCACTCCCGTTGATAGGGCACTCTCGTTATGAATAGAGCGACGTAGAATCGCGCGAGATACTGGATAAGCACGCTGAAAGCGCACGGACGAAAATAGGCTTCCGTCGACGGCTTCGAAAGCGTCGAGTTTTCTCTCTTTCCCCCCTCTCTTTTGCCTGATGTTCTTGTAATCCAGAGCAGTCTCCTTCTTAACGTAAAGACGATCCTTTGTGAGGATGCTTAAGAGACTTCTTAATAATGAATTTCTCTATAATGAATGATCTGACCCGTCGCGTGTCACAAAGCGCGACGTGTGACGCGTTGGATACTCCAGCTCATCCGCGGAAACACACCCCAGTCACGGTTTTTTTCCCTTTCATTTATTAATCAAACATCCGCCCGTCAACCGATCCCCGTACATCCGCCGGAGCGTTAACGCGAAGGAATGAAAGAACGCACGATTCTCGCGTATTTCGGTCACCTACATAATTAACCGGCCCCATTTTGTCGTGCCTTTATATCCGTATCCACGCTTTTCACACAGTTTTCTTTACGACCGCCCACGCAGTTACCTCGTGATTGATCTACCCCCGTTCCTGTTTACAGTACTTTAACCTTTCCGCAAGCGCGACTCTGTCTATTGCGAAAACACTATCGGAAGAGATCTGAATAATTTAAGAGTTTATGTTTCTTTATATCTATTAATAGCTTTGTTTACTTTCAAAGCTCCATTGAAAAATTCCGATACCACATTCGCCTTGATTAACGTTGCAAACAAGAAAGAGGTACATTCCTATAATAATAATAATAAATTCAGATTTCTAGTTTTCGTTTTTCGTTACTGTCGTGACGGACGTATTTGATGTAGCTTTTCGTTCCTGGAAGCCTCATTCGCGGCACTTTGACCTCGTTGTCGATCACATCGCTGTTATAACATAACTGACATAATATTCGTTGTATTAGCCGCGGCACGATCACGAAGAGAGGAGAGGACTTTGAGCGGAGAAAGACAACGATAGCAACAGGTGGCATCAAAAATTCATTCGTGATGGGCCTCCGTCAACAGGGGACATCTGTTTCTGGGGATCACTTGACCTTCTTAATTACGATTCCGGAAAGTAATTAGCGTCCGCGATGTCACAGGTGTGTCATTAGGATAATGCAGGATGTATCGCAGAATCCGCACGCGAGATAAATAATGTATCATTGTAGATTAAAGAGCGCCCGTGTAAAAATGTTTCGAGGTAGAACGTCTTCCCGGATTAGCTCTGAAACTAATCGAGAGTTCCTCTTTAATAATGGCAATAAACAGTTTTTATCCAAAGTATAAA